CACTGCACTGAGAACACTGCACTGAGAACACTGCACTGAGAACACTGCACCAACAGCACTGTGCAGAGAGCACTGCACCAAGAACACTGCACCAAGAGCACTGCACAGAGAGCACTGCACTGAGAGCACTGAACCGAGAGCACTGCACCAAGAGCACCACAGGGCTGCCCTACTTACCTGCTGCAGCTTTCTCTCATGGCCTTTGGCCACCTTGCTCCCAGTGAAGTCATTTTCCAGGAGATCTTGCTTAGCAAGCACTTCCTTCTGGAAATGCAGGAACATCCTGTAGCTGTCAGCCTTGGTGACCCCAGCCAGGTAGGAGCTGACATAGCAGTGCTGGTCCCTGGCACCTCTGAGCCCGACCTCCTGGTATTGCAGCACCTTCACGTCAGGCAGCCGGAGTTCCCTCCTGCGCCATCCAGGTGGGCCTCTGTGCATCTCCTCCTTCCCTTCTCCAAGAGCCTCCATTGGAAGGAGATCCTCCGCTGAAGTGTGGGAAAGAGAGGCCTGGGGGTTCAGGTACCTGAACAATGGCGTGTCCTGGGCATCGCTGGGGACCAGCGCCGTGTGTATGGTGAAGCGGGCCAGGGCCTCCTTCATCCTCGCCACCTGTCCTGCAGGCGGCTCTCCCACCCCAGGGACACGCTGCTCCCTGGGCCGGTTGGCATTGGGCCAGTGCTGTAAGACCGTGTCGGGAGGCCGGTAGAGCTTGTTGGGGTTCAGGTGTCCAGAGATGTACAGGTAGACGTCCTCCCGGTGGTCTTTCTGAAGCCGGTTCAGAAGTTTCTTCAGATTGCACAGGGTCTTCACGCCTGGCGTCTCGCAGTGCTTCCACTTCAAGTAAACTGTCCAGAAAAGAAAAGGAGGCTTTTAGGGATGCTCTTAGTTCACAGTAAGTCAGCAGGTGCACTGGCTGAGAGGCCTAGCCCCTGCCCAAATAGAGGGTCTACAGAGAAACCGATGAACAGAGTGCATGGCTCAGCCCTTAAAGGTAAAAGACGGCTGTGGTGGCTCATGCCTGTAATCCTAGCACTTTGGGAAGCCAAGGCGGTGGATCACCTGAGGTCAGGAGTTCAAGATCAGCGTGGCCAACGTGGCGAAACCCCATCTCTACTAAAAACACAAAATAAGCCGGGCGTGGTGGTGCATGCCTGTAATCCCAGCTCATCGGAAGGCTGAGGCAGGAGAATCAATTGAACCCAGGAGGCGGAGGTTGCAATGAGCTGAGATCGGGCCGCTGTCCTCCAGCTTGGGTGACAGAGTGAGACTCTATCTAAAAAAAAAAGTCAAAGACATCCATGCCAGGTGTGATGTGCTGCTGCAGATGAGAGGCGGGCAGGCCCCCAGGATGTGCAAACCAATCAGAAAGCTCAGGGCCCTCAAAGCCAATAAGAGAAAGACAGAATATCTTAATTGGGGAGAGTATTTCTTACAATATTAGCAAAAGCTCTGAAAGAAAAATGCAAAATCTTAATTGTAATTCTTAATGATGATGCTTAAAGATGTCTTCTTTAATGTACTTCACATGCCAGGAACACAAAAAGGGTTTGCGGGGGTATTCTCCCTTAATGCTGAAAAGTCTCAGGAGTCCCTGACTAAACCCCTCAATGACCATTGGGCCACTCACCCCTTCCTGCACCCTCCCCACAGAGCCAACCCCGAGGGCATGTTGAATCACAGTTGCTTCCTCTGCAACATCAGAATCATCCACTCATACAAAATGGTTGACTGACACTCAGATGGAATCACTTTTGGCAAAGGGGACCAGAGGAGATACTCCATAAATTCAACCCATTTTTGCTGCAGGTCTATAGTGCAGACAGTACTCTCAGCAGAGGGATGCTGGAGAATCACCCATGATGATCGACTTAGTTCTTCAGCGAAGCCACTTATGAAATGATTAATAGAACAAATTCTCCAAGACAACAATCACTGTAATTCATCCAAGGCATGAACACTCCAAGCTCTAAAAGGCATCTTGTACCAACTCCATGGAAGATGGAAGGAGGCAACTACATTGTTGCTGTGTCATCCTTTGTTACTGAACACTTCAGGTAGAACAAGAGCAGCCCAGAATTGCCCCTTCATTTGCTGTTTCCAACCCAAGAAGGAGAGCTTCTTTCTGGGACACTGTACTGTGATGGCCAACGGACAGCTGGCCCATCCACACCCTCCTCAGAGAGCCTTGCTCCATCCAGCGCGAAGCAAACCATCCTTCCCGGAGTCAACTGAGGTGGCCGAATACTAGAGCCAGTGCCCTCAGCAGAGGGATGCCAGAGAATCGCCCTGAGGGCCAGGCACAGGGGCTCACACCTATAATCCCAGCACTTTGGGAGACCGAGGTGGGTGGATCACAAGGTCAAGAGATAGAGACCTCGAGACCATCCTGGCCAACACAATGAAACCCCATCTCTGAAAAAAAAAAAAAAAGAATAGAGAATCAAATCGCCCTGTGGATCAATGTAGTCCTTCAGAGCAGCCACTTAGGGAATGATTTAATAGAACAAATTCTCCAAGACAACAATTATTGTCATTCATAAAAAGCAATTCATAAATTATTGTAATTCATAAAAAACTAACTCCATGAAAGATGGATGAAGGAGGCAACTTCATTGCTGCTGTTATCCTTTATTTTATTTCCAAGAAGGATTTGAAACCACCAGCAAATCAATTGGTACAATCATTTCCCCACTTCAAATGCTTTTTCTTTCTATTGTAATAAGACCTGCTCCAGATTCCGCTTCTGTCTACCACGTTCTTTTAATATATGCCACGAATCCCTATCATGGAAATAAATATTTTAATTATTTTCCTATCTGAAAACATTGTTGGGGTGTGTGCGTGGGTGTATCCTGCCATCTCAACCTGAGAAAGAAGACAAACAAAAAATGAAAGTTTTAAGAATTTATTAGAAAATGTGATTATTTTACAAATGATCTGCAAACAAATTTGCTTTAAGTAAAACCAAATCAACTTTTGAATGTGTATTGAATAGGAAGATGGAGTAATAGGTCTTTAGACTAGTTTGGAATAAATATTGCCAAATGTTCGTATTAAACTTTTGTTTTGAGCTGGAGTCTCGCTCTGTTGCCCAGGCTGGAGTGAAGTGCAGTGGCGCGATCTCTGCTCACTGCAACCTCCGCCTCCTGGGTTCAAGCAATTCTCCTGCCTCAGACTCCGCTACCACACCCGGCTACTTTTTGTATTTTTAGTAGAGACAGGGTTTCACCATGTTGGCCAATAGGTCTTTAACTTCAAAATTATTACAAATCAGGCCAGGTGCTGTCGCTCACACCTGTAATCCCAGCACTTTGGGAGGCCGAGGCAGATGGATCACTTGAAGTCAGGAATTTGAGACCAGCCTGGCCAATCTGGCAGAACCTCTTCTCTACTAAAAATACCAAAATTAGCCAGGCGTGTTGGTGGGCGCCTGTAATCCCAGCTACTGCGAGGCTCAGGCACCAGAATCACTTGAATCCGGGAAGTGGAGGTTGCAATGAGCGAAACAGCACCATTGCACTTTAGCCTAGACGACAGAGTGAGACTCCGCCTAAAAAAAAATTACAATCACTGTCCCATGTTATCTGATCTGTGGGAAACTAAGAATCCCACAGAAATTCTCCCTGGTCTCATTCTAGAACATTCATATTCCCTCTGTGTTTCTGCCCTCTGCCTCCTCTGCCCCCACCCTGAAGTCAGTACACATCCTAGGAAATGTATTCCTGGAAAGACTCTGAGAACAAAGCAGCAGGCCCAGACCCACAGGCCCTCTGCCTGGGGGCCAGTGTGGCCAGAGGAGCCAGGGAGGCTGGGGACAGGCCTGGCCAATGGGATCTGTCCTGGAGTCCTGGGCTCCCCTCCGAGAATCCTTGCAGAACTCACAAAGAGCGTTCGTCATCCCCTGTATCCATCCTACCCACTGGAGAATCTTTTCAAACTCCACTGAGATTGCAATCCGGCCTTTCCTGAACCCGCAAATAAACATCTGTTGTCTGCCCTACACTGTGATTGAGGGTAGGATGAATGTGAGCCCCCAGGAGCCTGGAAATCCCATAGGGAGTGACATACAGACCCCGGGCTGGGGTAAGATACAGACCTGAGCCCAGAGGAGAAGCACATGCCTCATGTGGACTCTATCTCAGGGTGAAATGTGGAAGCAGAATGATGGGACCCAGAGCTATCCACCCTGACGCCAGACCAGGGCAAGAGGTCTTTACAGGTTTAATTCAGGTCACGGGCCTTAAAATAAAGAGCTGTGTCTGGATGGTCAAGGCTCTAATCTAATTACATGAGCCCCTAAAAGCAGAGAAGTTTCCCTGGCAAGAGTCAGAAGGGGGAGGTGGAAGAAAGGGGGTCAGGGAGGTTGCAAGGAGAGGAAGTTTCCAGGCTCACTGGATCCCGGGTGGAAGCCACAGGCCAGACGGAAGGAGGCTTCTTAGAGCCAGGGCCCCTCCTGACAAACGGCAAGTCCCCCACCACAAGGACAGGGTCAAGCCAGCAAGTCCACCAGGCCTGGAAGAGGTTCTTCCCCAGAGCCCCTACGAAGCAGCAGAGCTGACCTTCCCATCGAGTTCAGCCTGGTGAGAGCCTCAGCTCTCTGTATACAAAGAAGAAAAAGACAACTCCCCAAGGACTGAAAGGCCCCTTTTCAAAATAATTCCCACTGCCTATGTCACAGCAGATGTGTGGGATACTGATTCAATCTGCACAGCAGCCTGGGAGGTAGGTGCCATCCCCGCCTCCTTTACAGATGAGGAAACTGAGGCATGGGTGTCAGATGGTCAGCTGCCTCCAAGGCCCATGCTCTCAACCTGCCCAAACACCTGCACATAAAGAGCACTAAATGCATTCTGACATCATACAATAAAATTTCTTTTATATCAAGAATTTAAAATTTCTTTTTAAAATTTTTCTTGATTTAAAATTTCTTTTAAATCAAGTCGAGACTGCTTTGCTCAGTCCAGCAAGGTTTCTCTCTGCCCAAATTTTGTCTGAAGCAGTCAGTAATCCTGTTTTAGTGCCAGCACAGGGCGGGTGGTGGTGGGAAAAGCAAAGGCTTTGAAGTTAAAAGACCTGGGCTGACCTCCCCAGAGACTCCCCTTAGTAAAATCACATTGATAGCCGCAGCTTTCAGGGCCATGGATACTAAATAAAATCAGAGACGGCAAAGCACTTCTGACTTGACGCCTGTGAGGCGCTGAGCTTTGTGGTCATTTAGAGGAGTGTGGAAGGGCAGCATGCCAGGAAATGCCTTGAAGTGTGGCTTTTTAAGATCACACTCTGAACTAACAGCCTGAAACCTGCTGCTTCGTCCCTTCTCCTCCTCAGGTGTCCAGAGACTCCAACACACTGTGCGACCGTGCAGGTCCACACTGTATGGCTGACACACACCCACATGGCACTCACCCCTCACCTTTGTACTTTGCATGCTGGTTTTAGATTCTCTGAGAAGGCAGCACAACCCCAATCTAATCCTCATCCCTCAAGACCATGGAGCCCGCGGGCAGCCACCAGAAAAAGGTTTTCACATTTCAAATCAGTCTTCAGAAGCCCCTCCCTCCACAACCAAACATCAAGCAAATATCACAAGCCAACAGAAGTCGCTCCAGGCCACTTACATTCAGGCTCCTGCCCCTGGGCCATTGCTTCCTTCCCTCCAGCTGCCCGGGCTGGGCTGTCGCCATGGAAACCACAAACATTCTAAGCCCTCCTTGGCTCCCTCACTCTGGGGCAACCAGGCACAGCCCCTGCTGTGGAACCTCCCTCCAATCCCTCCCCTTTTCTGTGTCTCCAACCTTCTTGAATGGGGAGTATTGGTGTTTGCTTGCTCGTTTTACGTTTAACAGTGAAACACTTTCTGTGATCTAAACAATGTCAAAGTATCCTCGCTCGCACTCCCTGATTCCTCTCAAAGTCCAGAAGACTTTTTTTTTGGATTTAGTTCCGTTTATTTCCCTTTCAGGTACCAAACAAAGTAAAAAAGACGGACGGATGGAGAGGAACGCAGCCGGCCAGGGTGGGAGCAGAATGGAGGTGGGGAGGGGCCCTGCTCACATCACATCCACAAAGAACTCACTGGGGTTTCCCATGGCCATGCGGAAGGACTGTCTGCTGGCGGTCAGTTCCGGGGGCCCTGAGGCCAGGTGGCGGACCGGAGGGGCTCCTGGGGGCCCCAAGGTCGTGGGCAGTGGGGGCATCATCAGCATGGGGGGCCGTAGAGAGGGGGCACGCCGGGAGGACCATAGCTCGGGTGTGTGTGGTGGCTGCGAAGGCTGCTGGCCAGAGGATGGTGGCTGTGGTGGCTGTGTTCACTGGCCGCCGGGCCTGAGCGCTCGCTGGGCGCCCGCTCCCGCGGCCCCCGCAGGCTGCTGCGTGTCGTGTGGTCCGATTCGCTGCTGCTACCCCTTGCATTGGAGTCCCCGGCCTTCGGGTCCTTCTCTTTCCTCCGATCACTGCCGCTATGGTTGGAGCCACTGCTCCGACTGCCTTCGCTGTGCTCACTGCTGGCACTGCCCCCGCTGTAGCTGTAGCCCAGCTCTGGGAAACCCGGGTGCGGGTTGTAGGGGTGCGGGGGTGGCGGGTACTGGTACGGGAAAGCCATGGGCCACGGGGCGGCCCCTGGGTGCGGCAAAGGGGCCAGCGTGTCCTGGTCAGAGGCACCACTGGAGCCATCGTGATCGTGGAGAGACAGGTTGGCCATGTTGCCGCAGAGGTCGCCAAATATGTAGTAGCACTGCTCGGAGAAGGTGATCTTGTTGACGGTGTGGCGGATGAAGCCAGCTTTCAGCGGGTTGCTGGCATACTTGCGGGCCTCGCTCTGGTCCGTGAAGCCTTCCACATTGTGGTACAGTCAGTCCACCACATCCAAGCCGATGAAAGCGTTAGGGATGGTAATCTTGAGCCATATGCGGTCACGGACCTCCAACCCTGATTCAGGGGAGGCCATGGCTTTTACGATGGCAGCCATGTCACTGTGGATGGACAGGTGGAAGTCGTCTAGGTGCTCTGTGTCAGGGATAGAACTGGTGATGGAGGAGCTGGTGGAGGTGATGGTGCTCAGGGAGGGGCTCATGCGGTATGCAGGGAAGGTGACCGTCATGGCTGCAGTGTGGGAGACCCAGGCCGCAGGGTCAATGGGCCGGATGGGCTCGCTCCTGGGCAACGTGAAGCAACCACGTGGACTTGGGTCCCAGCACTTGGCTACAGCAAGGGTGATGGGCCCCGGTTTGTGCACAGTCTCCCGCAGTACCCGGACTGCGTCGTCATTACTCATGTTCTCAAAGTTGATCTCGTTTACCTGTAACAGCATATCTCCTGGCTCGATGCGCCCGTCAGCAGCCACGGCCCCACCCTTCATGATAGAGCCAATGTAGATGCCGCCGTCTCCACGCTCGTTGCTTTGGCCCACAATGGTGATGCCCAAGAAGTTATATTTTTCCACGTTGAGAATGACCGTGATGATGTTGAGTGACATGGTGGAGTCCGTGATGCTGCTGAAGGATGAGGACCGCTCAATCCGGGAAACCTTCTGCTTCCGCGGCCGCCGCTTGTGTCGTCTCATCAGGCGTGAGGCGCTGCTCTGCTCTGTGGAGCTGCTGAACCTGCTGGTGGAGTCATCCTCATCTGAGTCAAAGAAGCTGGTGGTCTCCAGCTCGCTGCTCATGAGGGTGGACGAGCTGTCGTAACCGCGTGGCTCTCGCCTCCGCTCCCCTTTCGCAGTTCCGTTGAGCCGGGCTGCATGCTCTGGGCCATCCCTCCGGCGTGGACGCTCTCGCTGGGCACACACCAAGGAGTCCGTTTCTGTGTCATTGTCCAGGTTTTCCTGGCTGCCTCCACCGGCGTGAGGGTGGAAGGATGGTGGTTGGGAGTCCCCGATGCCTCCAGTGCGCTCCATAGGTGGTGGCAGCTTCGATGGGCTGTCAGCACAGAAGGGGGCTGGGTCTGGGTGTGAGCCCTCAGCGGACACCAGCCAGGACACCACCCGGCCATTGAAGCACGACAGCTTAGCGTTGTCATCCGAGATCTCCTCCTTCACCACTCCGAAATCTTCGTCCAGAGACTTGAAGAACTTATAGCTGGGTCGCTGCAGAACGCCCTTAAAGTTTATTAAAAAATAAACTCGGCATTAACCCTTACATTTGGTGCCGGAAACCCGGGAGGAGTTGTAAGACCCCTCCTGGGGGAAACTGATTCCTCCACCCTAAGCCTGGTGGTCTTAGGAAAATGAAATTTTTCCAATAACATTGGAAAAATCATCTTTTTAAAGAACCCAATGACAGCCAAAGCACAGATAGCTCAGGTTTCCCAGGAAATTGGAGGAGAGTTTAAAATATCAATGTTAAAACTGCAAGTGATCCTGTACCAATCTGTAGGTTATATTTCTTGCCTTGTTACTTAAGTCTCTTCCCCCACTTTGTGGAAACAGTTCTGATACCAGTCTCCTAGCATGAATCAGTACAGTTTGACCACTAGTCAGAGCCCTTAATGCTTGGATAAGATGTCCTCTATTTTGTTTTCCTTGGGGCTTTGTCAAAGTCAGCAATCTGTAGTGGTAGAACTTCAGAAATTGTCCAGCCTTTCCTAGACTGGGAAAGGAGGGTTCTTCCCAGTGCCCATATTCTCTGAAACACTAGAAGATTAGAGGTGGTGAAAATAGCTTGGGATTTTATACCTCTCTTCTTGCCTCCTATGTCCTAGAAACTACTAGTAGCTAATCAGATAAATTTCCTGCTTCTCTGTTTGCACTGCCTTCTAAACTTTTCTCAGACAGGCTGGATAATTTTCAGGTAACAGTCTTCATAGAAATCTTTTCAGGGAATAGAAGCAAGGAAATCTTTTTCTAAACCAGCAGGGCTTTTCCTCTTAGCCCCTGAATCTGGGAAAAGTACCCGGGATTATTTTCTGTCCTAACTAAGTACAGTAGCCTTTAAGAAAGCCCATAAGGAAACTACAGTATGAAACTGTCTGAGATGACAATCTACTTCAAAACCTGCATTTATGGTGAAGAAGAGAACACCTGTCATTGCTGATTAGTATTATGAATGGGGGAATTATTTTAAGTATTCCATGGAACAATAGAGTTCAGGGCATTTTCCTCATGTGATGCTTAAAACCCTGTAAATTACCACATAAAGAAAGTTCCCAGGTGGCTCAGAGGCTAGGAGTTGGCCTGATTGGGGGTGCAGGGGATTACAAGGCTGTGATGGAAGGACTATGGGATGAGGGTGAAACCTGCCAAGGCCTGGAGCTGACTTTATTCTGGGCTTGCCTGTTTTATGTGTTCAATTTGGATCTGGACCCAGGTCCAGATCCTGAAGTAAACGATGCTTGCAATTTGACTCCTTTCTACTCCTATACTGTATTTAAATGATGGGACTGGGTTTTGTTGCAAATAAATCATTCTTTTGTTGTTGAAGAAAATCTGGACTGTTGTTAGAATTGGGAGAGAGTGGAAGGAATTTATTTTCTTCGTTCCCTTTAGCTGAGGCTAGGAATTCAACCCTAATCCCTGAAGGGCAGGGCTGGAGCATCCTCAGAAGTTCTCTCTTAAGGAAACACTACTAGCCATTAGCCCTCGCCAAGGTGCCCCTTTGGCGAAGCCCCGTAAGTCTGTCCCTACCCAATTGCTCTTGACTAGTCTTATGGCAATTCTCATGGGATAGGACTGATTTAGGGTAGGTATGTGTGTTTGTCAAATCCCTACATTTCTTACCTATTAATTGTAAACTAACTCGTTTTAACTTCGTTTTAACACTCCCTTCAACAACTGCTTCCAGCTAGGCTGAATATCTTGCAAGTATATAAATACAAGTTTTATTTTTGTGACTGAGGAGCTGTTCCTTAACATCCATTTGCCTGTCTACCTTCTTTACTGTATCATTAAGAGTCAGCTCAGGCATTTCTCATCTTCTCAATGTCCCCTTGACACACCAGCCTCAGGTGTGTATTAAGTTTTCTATGTATTCAGAACTCACAAAGCTAGGAGACCATGACTTATTGAAAACCCCTAAGATCCAAGATGCTAAACTTAGGATCTGGTCTTATAACCAAGGTCCATCTTCAGCTAGACTGAGTATCTTGCAAGTCTCTACGCATCCCTCTGTGTTCATATAGCACTTTGTGCCTGCCTTTGATATACTCTAGTATAAATGTTTATTCTTGCAAAAAGATGGAGCCCCTTTTGAGGAGTTTCAACTGCATGAAAAAAAAAATTTTTTTTGACCTTGTCTTTAATGTTTATTTCACATTATCTAAGTACATCCAGTTATGCAAATTTACATTTTTATTTCACATCCTTGTATTTCTGATATACATATATCAGGACAAAGAACACATTTGGAACACTCAGCCTGTAAAACTCTCTTGGAGGAAACAAGATTCTCTGCTGCCTTATTCTTCTGCACATGTACAAATAAGATTCTAAGTAATTGGAATGGAAATAAAAAATGATAGAAGAGAAAACTAACTACATTTTTATGCTACTTGAGGCTATTTGTACCTGATTTTTCAAATGGTCTTCTACTTGCTGAGTTACAATTTAATAGCAACACAACTTTGGGGGCACCTTAAAATATGCCAAGAAGCTTCATTGTTTCTAGAGTTCTTAAAAAACACAGGAAGCTGACATCAGCTACACATCACTAATGCTTAGATTTTGGTGCTGTAGTGCTGTGTATTTACCTAAGATATTTTAAAAGGTAGTAATCAGCATTATTATTCCTCTTTTGTGAAAACATCTTGCCAGGCTAGAAAACAAGCAATTATTTCTTCAATTAGGCAAAGAAAAAAAGGACAGACCAGTACAATTCAGTGTTCATTTTAAAGGAAACAATCACATCGAACTAAACATTTTAAATTTCAGTTACAATTTTATGAAATGCAAGCATCTCAGAATCACATTGAGATACTAGATGAGCACGTGTTCATTCTGTTCAATGTTGCCCACGAGATTTTTCCTATCACTAGTTCCTGGGCTTGACTGACTGTTAAAATACAGAGTGTTTTCAAAGGCGCCCTCTTGAGGTAGCTGCACACGTCTTGTCTTGTAAAAGAAATAGGCAGCAAGGCCTGCACCCATTAAAACCAGGAGGATCACAATGATTACTCCGGCCACGTTGGAAGATGGTTTGGAAGGATCTATCTTTCTTGGGTCAGCTTTTGTTGTAAGTAATTCATGAGTAGGTTTGGCATCAATAATTTTTGGCCTTTTACAAATGAATCCCTTGTAGGAAGAACAGTGAGCATTACTCCAAAACCCAGAAGATGCCTGTAAACCTACACAGTCATTCCGTTCAATGGAGGGATCTCCTATGTTCCAGTTGACAAAAGAAACTGGACTGTTATTTATCCACAGCCATGTTCCTTGAATATTTCTGAACATTCCTATCCAAAAATCGGTTTTACTTTTAAGTGGCTCAATCCGATATGACAGAAAACTGGATTCGGCAGCACTTTCAATGGAAGCCAGGGAGGAATCCATTCAAAGACAATCCAGAGAAGCTTGGCCCCAGTTCCTTGTATATGAGGACTCGATATAGTAACAGTGACCATGGAAAAGAATCCATGCTGTGTGATCTGACTCCGGACATCTGCCAGGCAGTTGTGGGGGTTCAGTAGCAGGGATTTCATCTGATTTTTTGCAGAGGGGCGTGAGAATACCCCTGAGAAGGGGATGTCTTTGGGGGCCTTACAAGGAACATGGCCCAGGAATGGGAGGGCTGGTTAGGCTTGGAGCTCAGGCTACTTTAGATTTGGGCACATCAGTTCTGACTTGCCTTGCCTGGGTGGTCAGCAGTGAGTCTCCAGCTGTCTCCTCCAGGGAGCTCTCCCCTTGGCGCTGAAGACTAGCAGGGGCAACTTGCCAGCATCACAGAATTCAGTGTAGCTTACACATATCGATTCCTTTCATCTCAGCAAAATGGGCACCACCAGAGCCATTCTGATCATGCCACCACCCTGGACCGTGTGACTGGAAGGTGGGTGACCAAGTTCACCAGCAATAAAACCCGGGGCCCAGGTATCCTCCAGCAGTGCCGCTTCCTGGCAATGAGGTAGGCCCTGGTGCAGGGAGAGCCACAGTGACCGTTTCAGATGCCGTCCACAGCCAGGGCCGCTGAGACCCGGGACAGTTTCCTGCGGTGCGTGCCAGCCGGAGCCTGTACAGTGCTCCTGAGCCCAGGGTGGAGGAGGGAGCCAGGCTTTGCTTTAAGGTGGCCTCCACTTTCCTGAATGTGTCAATGTGAAAGTCAAATAAAATGTATGTGCCGAACCTAAAAAAAAAAAAAAAAAAAAAAAGGAAGCTTTTTTCATTTTTTTTTCTCTTTAAATTATTTTATTCAAGAAGTGGGGGAGGACAGACAAGGGGACTGAGCTGAGCCCTGAGTCCCTGAACCTCCCAGCTCAGCCCCCACAGCAGGACTGGACCCAAAGTCAGAGTGTGGAGGCTCCAGCCCCACCCAGACACAGCTGGGGACAGACAGGACCCAGGAATACCCACTCACTGTCCTCTGGGAGGCGGCGGCCACAGCACACGGGGCCCAGCCCCGAGTGGGGCTATTTGGGGTGCTGCCGCCCTTCTTGGGAGTGGTGGGTTTCTTGCCCTGCTAGGGGTGTCCCTGGATGGTGAAGGCATCAACGCTCATGGACATGGTCTTGGCGGGGATCTGGGTGAAGCGCTTGCGGTCCGAGTTGTACTTGTAGATGCCTTCCACCATGGCGGGTGTGATGGTCCGGGGCCCAAAGCCCGCCAGCCGCGACAGCTCCTCCGTCTCCCCTGACAGTGTGTAGAGCGCCCGGAACTGGCAGCTCGAGCCACAAAAGAGGATCAGGAAGTGGTTGGCCTTGCTTTTCTCAATTTCCTCCAGAATGCGGTTCTTCTGCGGTTTGTTCACCTTTCCTGCCAGGCGGCAGTATGACAGGGCGTTATGGATGATGAACTTGTTGGACTTGGCACTAGGCTCCTTGCACAGCCGTGGACCTGTGTACTCGGGCACCGACGCTGGGGAGGAGGCATTGCTGCCATTCTCCCAGTCCCGTTCACGGCTCCCAGGCAGGCGGCTTGGGGACATGAGGCCCGATGGGGAGGGAGCCCGAGACGTGGGCCTCTTCACCCCGAGGTTATTGGGGACCTCGTTGGCCACAGTGGACAGTGACAGGGTGGACTGGGAATAGATTTTGCTAAGCCGAGAGCCCAGCAGGCTGCGTGCTGGGCTTCGCGCCAGGGCCGAGTCGTCACAGCAACCTGAGCGAGGCCGGGGCGCCCTCCGCCCGCCCGGACCCGGGCCCCCGGACCCCGCAGCCCCGGGCCGCAGCACCTTATCAAGGTCGCCCATCAGCTTCAGCTGGGCCGGGCGCTTGTACTCCAGCCGCGTGAAGTCCCCCCGCCGGGGGCTCACCTCCTCCTCGGCTGGAGCCCGGGCAGCAGGGGCCGGGGTAGCCATGGGGGCTGCAGGGACTGTGGACACGGCTGGTGCTGGGCCAGGGGCCTCATCATGGGCCAGCCTCGCGGCCTCCTCCCTCCGCGGTTCCTTCTCCGCCTCCTGCCACTGCTTGCGCCGCCGCGCCTCCTCTGCTCGCTGCTGCGGCCGCTCCAGCAGGCTGGCCAGCTTTTGAGCCATCTCGTCCTCACGCTTGTCTTCATCCTTGTAGAAGAACCCCAGCCCTGCTCTGGGCTCCCCCTCTGAAGACGCCTCCTCTTCCAAGGAATCCTCAGCACCAGGGTGACTCCCGTCTCCCCTCTCCTCAGCGGCGGGATCTGCCAGGCTGCCCAGCGGGATCTCGATGAGGCCGGCAGGGCGGCTGGCTCCTCGTGGGGCATCCCCTCTGCCAGGAGGATGGAGGAGTGCGTCTGCACAGGCACCTGGCTCTGGGAGAACTTGCGCAGGTGGGGGAGGCTGTCTACGTCGTGGGGTGGTGTGAGCACCCTGGTCAGGGGCGCCAGCCGCAGCTCCGCCGGCTGGGTGTGTTTCGGGCTTTGGGGTGACTGGCTGGGCCCGGGCCCAGGGCTGCGCCGAGTGGCCGGGACTCGCCGGGCGGAGCTGGGGGACAAGGCTTTTGGCCCCGTCGTCGTGGGGCCAGGGATGATCCATGCAGCAGGGGGCGGGGCGGGTCCAGGGGCCTCCGGCGGGGCCAGCAGCCGCTGCTGCTGGTCCGTGAGCCTCTGCATGTTCCGCTGCAGCGAGCTGAAAGCAGCACTCAGCTTGCTGACCGCTCGATTGTATTCCCCCAGCCCCTCGGGGGGCAGCGGACCCAGGTCTGGCGAGAAGGTCACTGCCTTGGGCCGTGAAGTTGGCTCACCCTGGCCCTCGCCCGCCGGCCGCTCCCCACCAGGGACTGGGCCTGGGTCGGCCTCGGCCTCCGCCTCCCCAGAAGCCTCCCTTGGCTGCACCTGTAGGAAGGCGCTTTTGCCCAGCTGCTGGCGGTGCTTGCCGAAGATGACCTCAATCCGTCGCTTCTGAGCCTCAATGGCTCTGCGTTTCTCCTCCAGCCGGGCACCAAGCTCACTCATCTCTGAACTCAGGGCCTTCGGCGGGGCTGGAGTGGACGTGGGGGACCCTGCTCCAGCCTCAGCCTCTGCCTCTGCCTTCACCAGCTGTTTCTTGCGTTCCGCAAAGCTGGTCATTTTCACCTCGGAGTTGGTGGCTGCTGGGGACGAAGCCACGACCTTCAGGGACCCCTCGGATGGGGCTGATGGTTTCGTTGCCTCCCCCACCAGAGAGGGAGATGGTTTTGAGAGGGACTCGGGGTGTGGCATGTACACCAGTGCTTTGATGGGCTTGTTGGACAGTGGTTTGGAGGTCCCCTCAGGCAGGTACGGGGAGGCCAGGGATGGCTTGGAGGGGAGACCTTTTTTTTTTTTTTTTTTTTTTTAAGGTTTAAAAAAGGGCTTGTTTAATTAATTAAATACAAGGATGAGCCCAGGCAGGGCGGAGGGGCGCCACCCACAGAAAGCACAGGTCTCTTGAAGCCACCTCCCCCGCAAACGCAGGAACCAGGTCCCAGTGACTCCTGGGGGAGTGGAGGAGTGGACACAGGTCTCTCCAGGCCCCTGGACACTGGAGAGGGCCCTGGGAACAGAGTTCTGGACCTCATAGCCCTACCCGACCCTGCTGCAGACAGGCCCCTGCCAGGGCAGGGCCCACCAAGACACGCAAAGGAAAATGGGGCCCCAGTCCCCAACCCGCCCCCAC